TGAAAGTTGCCAAATTACGAGTTGGCACGAACAAGATCAGAGCTTACGGTCGTCTGTCCTTCGCTCTCCAATTCGCGATGCGCGTCCATAATAGCAGCGGCAGATTTCTGAAGCAGTTCCCCTCTTTCCGCCGGGGTCATGTTCTTGCTTTCGTCGAGCAGCTTCTTAAACGGTCCCTCGGCGATCTCAATCCTGTTAAAAATTCTTTCTTAAAACAGGAACAAGGGGAAAAAACCCTTTCTTAAACTGTAATAGTACTTTAACGTAGGTAAAAGAGAACTTCAAGAAAGTACAGGGCGTGCCAAATTTGAGGGTGATTTTTAAAACTATGGAACCATGCTTTTTTATATACCTAATAAATTATTACACCCTGTATAACTCTTATAGGTTGAATGAAACTCGTGGTAGACCGACTTACTGTTGCATATTATTCGCGATACTGTGAATCAGCGCCACGGTGCCGCACGCGTTGGAAACCATCTGCTTGACATAGTACAAATCGGGCGTGACCGTCTGGCCGGCTTCCTTAATTTCGTTCGCTTGCGTCTCGGCGAAAGTTTGATACTGAAATTCGTCGATTAACGAGACGAACACTATAGGAAGCGACGACGACGTCAGCTTACCGTTTCGCTTATAGGAAATAGGAGAATCACAGACAGAACCGGCTTGGGAACCCACGCTAACGAATCGGCGTCTAAACCGAAAACGTCGACCAGGCTCCATTTTTCGGGCACACCCAACTTTTGCAAAAACTGAAAATTCGAGGCGTTACCCGAAATTCGGGGCCGATGTCGGAATACTAACCTTGTTTAAGACCTAAAAGCCGGCATTAGTGAGAAAGATGACTAATTAAAAAATTTGTTTTTTTATCTTACGTCAGGGTTTGACTCCAATGGAAGCAGCGACATGTTGATGGGTAATCGGTGAGCGCAGACTTTCGAAAATTGCAAAAAATATCCGCAATATGCAGCGATAAACGGAAAAATCTCAATGTAGAATGAACGATTGCAGCCGGTGATAGTTATTGATTTTTTATAATTTTTATTTAAACAAATGATACCCTGCGCGTGCGCCAACTATAAAATTTACGAAATTGGCAGTGTCTAACGTGTCGTTTCCTTTTTCCTTTTTTTATATACATGGTGAAAGAGCATTAGTATTTTAACAAAGTGAATCTAGTTTATTCTTGTAGCAATGTAAGAGAAACGGAACTATACGCCCAGTCTCTTCCTTGAGTTTTCGTTGGAAAAACACGATCGCGGGAATTTATTATTTCAATACGCAGGACACATTTCACTCCCGATTAGTCTATATGAATTCTCCCAGGGAAGACCCGATTTAGTAAACCAGGCCTCCCGGTATTGCGCTTTCGCCCATAAAACGTTTAGTCTTCAGAACTCTTATATAATAGGTTTTGGGAAGATGACCATACCCTCTTCTACTAGAAGTACGACAGAAAACGTAGCACCAGAGGGTCTGGAATACCCCAGGCAAACGATGAGGCGTAGATCATTTCCAAAAATTACCATGAGAGTACTAACTACTAAGGGAAGTAGGGACGGAATTATCGAGTCCTTCTTTGTTGAGGCTACTCCTGTTGCGGCCAGGGGCTATTCTACGGCCCCGGAGCAGCACTCTCGTCCTCAGAACTCCTTATATATTGAATTGCCTTTCGGCCTCGCCGTTGGTTGGGGGTGTGACAGCGCCAGAAATGCGCTTACCTTTCACTTTGGGTTGTGAAGATTCGTGAACCAACTGAATATGAGGTCCTAAGACGCATCCTTTGTATTTTTAAAAATTCTTTTGTTATTCATATTAGGAAAAACCAGATTCATCCCTCTAGCTCCTCATGCGCGCCACAGAAGGGGACCAGGACTTCACAGCAGACAGACCTGCTTTTGCAACAAGTAAGCTATTAAAGAATGGCCCACCTTCCGCTAGTAACTATGGATTATCACATGGGACTGGGATACAGAACTGGAGGGGGGCAACAAGCAAATTACTGATTTTCTGTTTGCAAATTAAAATACATGATATTAGTACATTTATTAGCACCATACAAATAAAACTATGGTTTACTAACAGGAATGATACAATAAACTATAACATCACCTTATAGGTATAACAAATATGGCAACATACAATTTTATTAGTCGCTCCAATTGTGATACCTCCACCTACGATACATTTAAAATTATAAAAGTAAAAAGATTTAGCAAAACTCCCATTTTTTGTGTACTTCCGGCGTTAAATTCGTGATATGTACGTGCACGGCTTGGTACTTTTCCATTTTCGGCGGTATTGGACACAACCTATATTTCACAACGTCTCCGGGTAACGGAACATATTCCCCTTCGACACTACAAATTTCAAAGTTAATTGACTTGAAGTTTCACTTTCTAAATGCATCATCAAAGAGACCAATTGATTGCATGCTTACTCTGATACATGGACGAAGATATCGTCGCCACCTGTCGCCGGTGTAACGAAACCGTGGCCCTTCTCCCGACAAAAACTCTTAATAGCGCCAGACATCTCCGGACTTTGCAACGCTCTCTCGCTCCTAAAAACGATCGAGTACGTTACAAGTTACCCTCGAGGACCAGCTGTAGATACTTACATGGATGCTGTTCGAGTTCTTCGCGTTATTAAAGGACTTGGAATGGTCATAGTGGACTTGTTTGAATTATCGACACTTAACGACGACATTTTCTTAGATAAATCTATTTTGTAAATAAAACGAAAGGAAATCACAACTCAAATATTGAAAAATTGTAGTGTTGAGAAATAAATCAACATTTAACATAAATACCAACTTATGGATTTAAAAAAATAAAATTCCCCACATTTTTATACAGGGAGAGGCTTTATTTGTTTTTGTCAGCGCTACTCTTCTGTTGTGTTGGGTTGCCTACGTGGCAGTTGAAAAAGAAACAAAACTGCACTATCTTTATTACAACGAATAATAAAAGATACACCTTAAACCTAAATTCGTAAACCTTGAATCTCTTTCTCTAACAAAGACAAGTTCCAAATGACAAGTTGGCCGTCAAGTCCCGAAGTACTAAACTTAGTACCGTCAGCTTTCGTTCCTCCGTACAAACACAAGCAAGTAATTGCGTTTTGATGTACCGAGTCCAAACTGGTATCTGACACTTCGACACGTGCCTGTTTGTCTAACGACTGAAACTTACGCATTGCTGACAGCCCGCTGGCCTCCTTCTTCTGCGATGTATCCAACTTCGCCGCGAATACCAGCTTCCCATTCGTGTCGAGGGAGTATAGCAACGGCATACAATTATGGCCGGCGGTAATAATTGATCGATTGCTGACCCACGTACAACTCAAAAACGGTAAAAACTCGGTTTTTAGCTTGAACATGACATTACCGCGTGTTGCATCGGCAACGTTAATAGTTGAATCGTGCGCGACCCAGCATATCTTGTTACCGTCGGGAGAAAAACTAACGCTGTGTACCCAACCGCCGCCCGCTGCCGAGTTCGGGAATTCGGCCATGAGCTGACCTAGAGGCATCTTGCTTCCCCAGGGAGTCGCCTCGGGTGTCTTCTCAATGTCCCTAATGTACGCTGAGAAGACTCTCACTTTGTAATCCGTAGATCCGGCGACCAGCAGAACGTTATTGGGATGCCAATCGATTGAGGTGATGGTAGAACGAATTGGCTTTTTGATGTGCTTAGACACCCACCAGTCGTTTTCCGACTCGAAGTAGCAAATAGAGATTAAACGAGCGCCAGAACCGACAGCAAACTTGTTTTCGTCCGGCGACCATTTCACGCACGTTGCTGCGCGGTTTATACGTAATAAAACTAGGGTGGGTTTCCACTTGCCGTCATCACCTTGGGTCCAGACGTAGGCGTTACGATCCACCGCGCAGGTGACGATGCGGTTCGTATTGGGTGCCCAATCGATTCCCATGACGCGTAGATCGTGCTGGTTTAAATTATCGATCATTTTCCAATCGGAAGCGTTCCTTTGATAAACATGCACTTCATGATTATTAGGGGAGATTGCGATTTCTGTAAACGGTCAAGTCAAAGGAAGATACAGACATTTCGTTTACGTACGTGTCTTCTCCTTGTTCCAAGCGTGACAGGTGATGGGAGCGATAACATTTCCAAATCGATGTGTTTCGGTCATTGTCTTAAGGAGTCTCAATGGGCGTTGCCGGTGGTTATAGAAATTTCACCGCAGATGATTCCAAGATCGAGAAATTTTAGATTCGTGGACTCTGGGCAGTCGACACGAATTTTCTTGCCAATTTTTAAATGTTTTAATTAATAAAACACATATATAAGAACTTTGAATTTGGGATAACCAACAAAATGATTCACCTGGTTACAAAACACCAAAAGTTTGGTGTATTTTGTGTTGCCAACTTTGAATAAAGTCGAACCTAAAAAAACAGAAATGCAATGGTGCCAGTTGTAACTCTTCTACTTTGTGTTACTATGTATACAGAGAGGTCTTATGATAAATGTAGGGAAATGGCCTTTAAACAATCGTTAAGATCTCTGCATGCTGTGGGGTATTTCGTTCCCTCCAGACTCCTTGGCTTTACGTTCATACTCAAAACATTCAGTCCTAAAAAGGACCTTTTCCAAAATTCTGGTTGAAGTGCAATACACATATTGGAGAATATAGAACCGGGTCTTATGATAATTGTATGGAAATTAATTTTAAATCTTTTGCTACAACAATAGTTTAAAACCTTTGTAAGCTGGGTGGCGTTCCATACCCCCCAGACCGGGTGATTCTATGTTCACACTCAAAACATTAAACTCAAAAGGATCTTTCCAAAAATTATGGGTGAAGTGCTAAGGGCTACCCATTTTAGAGAATAATATAGCACCGAGTCTGGGGGGTATGCAATTCCCTACCTATCTTTGTGTGCTGGGTTGGGGGGTATTCTATACCCCCCAGACTACCCCCGGCTCTATGTTCACTCTCAAGGGATCTTTTCAAAGATTACAGTTGAAGTGCTAAGGGCTAAGGGAATATAGAACCGAGGGGTAAATCTATCGCTGCAACAACAGTTAAAACCATTGTATTTCTTACCCCCCCCCCCCCCGGCTCCTTGGTTCTACCTTAGTGTAATAACACTATGGTTCTACGTTTACCCTCAAAACATTCAGCCCTACAGGGATCTTTCTAATAATTATGGTTCAAATGCTAAGAGCGCACTACACATTTTGGAAAATATACAACCGGGGAGTTGGGAGGGGGGGGGGTTATAGAATACCCTCAGCAAGCATAAAAAAGGTCTAAGTGTAGGGAAATTAACTATAAGTCTACTACAATCGTTAAGACCATTTCCGACTATGTAACCTTCGGAATTTTCATTTTTCAGTGGATCTAAAACAAGTTGACCTTCTATGATTGTTAGAGACAATAGAGTAGTATTCTGCAACATTTTTAACGCATTTCCACAAAAATTAAAAAAAAAATGCGTTATTGTGGCCACTTTGTCCGGCCGTCCGTCCGGCCGCTCGTTCGTTGAGACGCTACTAGTTCTTTATCTTAAGAGCTATTGTTTTACTTTTTGTCGGTATTTGGTTCGTTATGGTGTCGAGGCTTGCACCAAGGAAGGAATTTTTTTCTTTGTTTATTGCTAAAAAAGTTATTGTAAAAAACAGTTTTTTACTTGTTCCATAATTTAAAATTTTTTCCGTTTATTAGCGATCCTAGAGATCGTTTATAATTTTGTATTGCTGTCTGTCGTCTGTCTGTTGGTCTGTCCGTCTGTTCCTTTGTCTGTCTGTTCCTCTATCTGTCCGTGTGAACGATAATTTTGTTTAGAAATGTCCGATCTCTTTTAGATCTCCGTTAGTTATGAACTGAATTACATGAAATTCAATATGGGCATAGTTTTAGCCATATAATACGCAATGCCAAAAGTTGAGTCGAATCAATTCAAAATTCACAGTGCCCTTTTCGCATCCCGACCATTTATAAACCGAATTGCAAACTTTTTTATTTATAAAAGTATTTGAATGAAATGAAATTTGGTTTTGCGCATGCGCAGTGCCAACTTTTTTATTTATGGAAGAATTTAAACGAAATTTGGTACATAGGCACTTGGAATAAAGGAAAATCAAACGCCAGTTTCAAAATTTTATTTCGCGCATGCGCATTGCCAACTTTTTTATTTATGGAAGCATTTAAATGAAATTTGATGCATAGGCGCTTGGAACAAAGGAAAATCTAACGTTAGTTTCAAAATTTAGATTTGCGCATGCGCAGCTCCCACTTTCTTATTTAGAAATGCATTGAAATGAAACTCTTCTTCTAAACAGAAATTAAAGTAGCACGTCAAAAATGGATTGCACATATGCAACGCTATCTTTCATATTTGTGGCCGGATTTTTACAATTTTATCACAAATTCCATCTTACAAATGGGAAATCAATGCAAGTGCGCTTTTTGTAAATCGTTTACGATTACTTTTTAACTTGTTTGTAGTGTGGTCACTGCTTCGTCTAATAACTGTAATATAATGTAAGTGGTATTACTCGTGGTATTATGACCACTTTCTCCGTTCGTCGGACGCCTTAAGTCCTTAACTATAATACTATACAGTTATCAAGATATTTTAGAACGAAAACCTTTTTAGCGCATTTTTTAAGAATTAAAAAAAAATTGCTATTGTACAAACGGTGTGGGGGGGGGGGGGGGGGGAGGTTAAAAATTAATTTTATCTCTCATTGTATTCTAATTAAAGGTCTCAATGAAAGGTACCGTTTTCTACCAACTACTGCCCTTCTTTCTGTCCTCTTACCAAGTACGAGGGGGGGGGGGGTGGAATGACTTTTATCCTTCATGGTACTATTATGAAAGGTCTCAACGAAAGGAATTAATTTCTACCAACCATAGCCCTCCTCCTTGACCTCTTATCGCGATCGGGTATATTCCCTTATTCCTCAAGAGCAGATTGTCAGAAGAGGGTACTCACAAAGGGAATGTGACGTCTGCAAGAAATATATCCATTGGTGATGTAAAACAAAAGCTATTTCGGTTAAAAAAAAATGCGCTTTATCTGCACAAGAGTTGTGCACAATTTATACTTGTTTTACTTGTTTTCACTACTGCCAGTACCAAAAAAATTATTGACAACGAATAAGCAATAAGATTTCAAAGGACCCAACACTAGATCCCTGTGGAACCCCAGTAACACAAATTGCATTACTATAATCGTATCACGCTTCTCCGGTAGAATTTCACTTTCAGTAGGAGTGCTACTCAACCTAAAATTGTAGTGCGCCAAAAATTGGTGTCGCCCGCCCGCTATGCAAATGGAAGATAATTAACGTGCAAAAAGATAAGTATTAGTTCGCATATTACGTATAGGTATGCGTAACATGTTCTAAAAAAATCTAAATAATCCCATGGCCATCTTATTTTGCATTCGCTTTAGATGCTATCGTTTCGTACAATCTAAGAGCAAAAGAATTTCGTTATTGTTTGTTAAAGTTATGAATAACAATTGAAATGCCTTTTGACCCTCGGATTTTAGGCACTAGAAATAGTTTATTTCTTTTGACTGTTGACGTTAATATTAAGGTCTCCAAGCAGAACATTATTTTCGACTAATCGATTGATTTTCCGGTTCGCATTTATTTGCATCTATCGCCGTAAAATTGCAGCGACATTGAAACTGAAATATCAAGGGAAGGTGGCTGACTGGTTTGAGGTTTGAGCTGATGATGGTACCTATACCTTTGGCACAAACAATCGCCACACCTCTCTTGAAATTCTTTATTGTACGTTATTATGTTTCTTCGATCCGCTGACTGCTCTGGATTATGATATATAACTTAAATCGTAAGTACCACTTTGGTACTGTTAAAGTATGTCGCTGAAAGTTTGAAAATATCAAAAATTATTAGAACAATTGTGCCGCACAAATCCAAAGTCATGAGAAATGTAATAAATAAGTCCTTGTGTATAAAAGCCAGATGGATATTGACATATCCCCCGCCTTTGTAAAATTTACCTTTCACCTTCTGTTAGGTACACCTAAAGCCAGTACTTCTTAGCAAGTCGTGGTGGTAACATTATTGGTGCCCATTGAGTAAGTGCGTCCGTGCCCAAAGATTTTCGAGTGTTATCCCGAAGTAGCGTACACCACCTCTCGGATGTAACTTAATTGGCTACATGAGAACTTAGGACTATCAAAATGAGCAAGGTGAGACCATATTTTCCTCAATTAAGTGCTGGTTATGACATTCTTCTCCACCCTAATACATAGTAATGTGTGAATTTTGTTTAACAATCGCTTAACGCTCGAGTGCAATAACTCATTGATGGGTACCACCAGTACTTATTTGGTACCGTACAGTTATTGATTACCACTGTCCTAATTTACATATTAATAGACCCATAACGTTATTAGCTTAATTATGCGTTAATCCACGTTGATCTAATTAGACCAACAGCTTCTGGTGTAAAATAATTGTACAATCCAATAATGTGCGACTGGGTGATATTAACATCAATTGTATCAATTCAACTAAACTGTACCGGTCATAAAAATGGAAATGAGAGGTGAACGAGTGTGACTAAATAATTCATCGCGCCAATTATTTAGCATTTCCTAGACTTTGCGCATTCTTTTTGCTTGTAAATTTCGTTTTCATTACGCGGTTACGAAAACACAAAACAATGCCGTTATCCTTGGTACTGCGGCAGCAGGTGAGCTTTTACTTTCAAACTGAAACGTCCGACTGCGATTTTTTTTACGAATGATTAGTTCCACAAACTGTTATCGATCAAATAGAAAGTCGAGGAAAGATCCTCGATACGAATTTCTTTTTCGAGGCGCGTTCTAATTACTCAACGTACGTGCGAGTATGTCTCGGGAAAAATGACAAGAGGATCATCTTCTTCGTGACGCCTCCTACGCGTCTCGTGCTCGGGGCTCTATTGTCATTAACCCCATGAAGATCATCGGCCGAACGAAGAAAGTTGAACGTTGAAGGTTACATTTACGTGACACTTTTGGAAATGTTTCTTCATTAGAATTACAGCAAAATTTCCCCAACATTTACAAAAATACACAATATGTTACACCAAATACACAATTGGTACACTAGCGAGTTTGTTTCTGATAGAAATTTCGTATTCAATTTGTTTCTTTTGTATACCGAGTGTAATTATTAAATCGACCAAATGCTTTGATTCTAAGAAATGGAGTCGTATTATAGTTTTAAGGTCATCTAATGGTATAAGAGTGTAATAAAAAAAAAATGTACAAGTAAAGATTCACAATTGAAATAAAAAGGTCCTTGTTGCACTACACTACTCAGACAATGAAAACATAAGACAATACTCAAACTAGTTCAAGTTCTATTTCTATGGGCAACTTAAGCATTGGTTCGTAACTTTAAATTACAACATTTCTGGCAGACATTGATTTGCAGAATCTAAAAGGGTAGATAAAGATTATGTAACTTTCCAAGTTCCTTTCATATTCACCTCCAGCTGTAGGTATTTAATTTTTTCTTAGCCATTCCTTAAGTTCCTCGCTGTACTTCATTCAACTCTCCCCTAAGTTCCCTTCACATTATTAACTTTCAAATCTTTCTCAAGTTCTTCTCTAATTCCTCCATAAGTTCTTCCCAAATTGTGTTCAAGTTCTGCTCAAGTTCTTCTTAACCTGCTCTCAACTTCCTCCAAAGTTCCGTCAAATTTCTTCTCAAATTTGTTTCCATATAACTACCAAATTCACCTTAAGTTCCTACCAAATCCTTTTGTCTTTCTCTGTATTCTCTCACAACTTCTTCATATGATTAAGCTGCCCTTAATACATCGAGTTGTTCTTAAATTACACTTAAGTCCTCATTAAGGTTCCCGCCGTCACATTCTTGTCAGATTTCTCTTACGGTCATTTCAAGTTCCTCTACGTACATAATTTGTAATCTGTAGAACATTTGCTAGATAATATAGTGACTTTGGGTATGCACTTTTTGCTACTTATTTATTTGCAAGATTAAATTATAATATTATAATATAAATAATTATTTGTTTTATGCAAGCGGATAGGGTGTAGCGTAGCCTTTCCCCGGAAAAACGTGATCACAATTTGATCCCATGGTGGGAAACTAAACTTTATGCGGTCTCGTTTTCGTTTTTCGTTAATGTCAAGGTTAAGTTGGTAGAGCAAAGTCTTAATTTTGTTACAAATTTCGTCGGAAAAATGGCAAAACAAATGCATTTCTCTTTGGATAAAATTGAGATTAAGTTCGAAAGGAAAGTCTTCATTCATTGTGGAATACTCCTTGAGACCTTTGGATGTCCTTTAAGACTGTGCGCTCTTAAACATCTTTCAAAATCCCTAAAGACCTCTGGGTGACGTTTGAAAATTTGGACTTTGGACTTACTGCCAACGGTAAATGTAAAGATTCCTGGTTTAAATGACCTTAAAAGCTCTAGATTTAAAATGAGCTTAGATTCGGCACGCAGGAGAGAAGAGAATGACAATAACTGGGGGCTGGGGCTCTTGCAGATCCGATTCTTAAAAACCCCACAAAGAAGTTTGTAAAGACTCTCAACAGATCCAAAAGGGTATTCAATTCACTGAATCACTTAAGGAGTTTTAAAGGCCGTTGATGACTGCTCATGCTCAGAACTGTTCGAAGACCCCGGCTGTCTTGGAACCATTGAAACTCCTTGCAAGTTTTTTAATTCGCACATTAAATCCACACAGGTATTTAAGGGTAAACGTATCACGGGGGGGTCTGGGGGAATACCCTTCAATGTACGAAGGTCTATGCCTGTTTTAGGTAAACGAAGATTATAGGCTCTTTCGTTTTCCAGGGTGGCATAGCTTGAGGGGTATTCTATACCCCCAGAATCCTCGCAGGGCTGAACGTATTACAGGGGGGGGGGGGCTTGAGGGTATGGAATTTTACTCCCCTCCCTCCCCGTTCTACTCTCTTCCCGGAAATGTTTAGAAACCGTTTTCGAAAAATCCTCAAATACATTAGCACTTACCTACACCATAATCTTTCAAAAGAGTCTTTAGGGCTGAACGTTTTTAAGATGAACGTATCACAGGGGGGTCTGGGGAGTATGGAATACCCTCCAGTATACGAAGGTCTTATGCCTGTTTTAGGTAAATGAAGATAGGCTCTTTCTAATTCCTGGTGGCATAGCCTGGGGGTTATTCCCTACCCCTCGGTTGTACTCTCTTCCCGAAAATGTTTAGTACCTTTAGCACTTACACTATAACCTTTCAAAAGAGTCTTATTGGGGCTGAACGTTTTCAGAGTAATGGTATCAGAAGGGGGGCTGGAATACCCCAGACTCCCCGGTTCTACATTCTTCCCCAAAACGTTTAGCGCCTTTAGCATTTACACCACCATTTTTCGGAGTCCTACGGGCTGAACATTTTGATGGTGAATTTATCACCGGGGGGTTCTGGGGGATACGAAGATCTTATGCCAGTTTGTAGTTAATTGAAGATATGCTCTTCCTTTTTCCTGGAGGTATTCTATACCCCCAGACCGCCCCCGGTTTCACATTCCTCCCCAAAATGTTTAGTGCCGTTAGCACTCAAACTATCATTTTTCGAAAGAGTCCTAGACTGGGTTTTTCCTTTTTCTGGGAGGTACCCCATACTATCCCACCAATTTTGTCGAAAAAAATTTATGCCATTTCTTTTTTGGTAGGTACCTACATTATTTATGAAATGGACTGTTGCAGAAATCTAAGCTTTTATAATAGTCCAGGAAATAGAGACTCAAAATGGACCGTTTCCTGCAAAACGAGAAGTAGTTTCAATTTCTTTGCATGTCATGAAAGAATATCTGGTGGTTAAGAATCCAAGTTTTCGACCTCCCACCCCCTGTGCTTCCCCCGCACCACTCTTAAAACCCTTAAAACCCCTTAAAACGATATTTTTTCTAAAGTGAACCATTAAAAAGGTATGATTCAAAAACTAAGAGGCCAACCAACTTTCAGAGGTTTTGGGGGTGGTACGGGAGAAGCACAAGGGGTGGGATGTCGAAAACTTAAATTCTTAACCACCCAGATGACTGTCTATGCCATGCAAAAGAAATTGGAACTACTTCTAATTTTGCAAATTAAAACCCTCTAGGTATTCCTTGGACTATAAATAATAAACCGATACAACGAAATATCGAAGGATCCTCAGTATTACAATCACTTTTAACGACAATTTATTTTAATCTTACATTATATACATTTTATAGTTTAACGAAAATGCATCAAATTCATGTCTTGGTCATTGAGATAATGCTCTTGGTCTCTTTGCCTACGATCTTGGTGCATAAATAACGATTTTGACATGTTTTGATCAAAATTCACGTGGTCGCCAAAAATAGATCAAATTCATGTTTTGATCATTGAGATAATGCTTTTGGTCTTTTTCCCAACGACCTTGGTGCATAAATAACGATTTTGACATGTTTTGATCAAAATCCATGTGGTCGCCATAAATAGATCAAATTCATGTTTTGGTCATTGAGATAATGCTCTTGGTGTTTGTTCCAACGATCTTGGTGCATAAATAACGATTTTGACATAGTTTGATCTTTGAATCACACTCACACACATGCGGTTATCAATTGTGCACGTGATGTATTTTTCAGCATCAAGATAATGCGTTTGAAAGCTTTCAAAACTCCAAATTCATGTATAAAAAATAATTTTGGGTACATTTTGCTCTAAAACTTTTGACCTATACCACAGAGAAGAGTTATATGAAAAATAAAAAGAGCGCACACGGACGGACGAACGGACGACAATACAAAACTATAAAGGATCTGAGGATCCTTAATAAAAGGACGTAGTAGGTATTGAAGGTTTTAAGGTCATTTTATAACGCTAACTTTGAAGAGGGCTTCAACTTTTTAAGAAACTGTTAGTTGAAAATTATGGACGATTCTAATAAAATTTGAAATTCGATCACCATTAGAACTGCAATTCTAAAGTGAATTATATTATTTATGAAATTAATTGGCAAGGTAGACTATCGAAACCTAATACATGCACTTAAAGTAGTTCAAGGTTTGTGCAACTTGAGCGAAGAAATAGTACCTAAGGTGCCATAGCCACGAGTTATCCTGAATGTCCTATTTGACACTTGCTATACGCTCCTATGGGTTCTTCCTTCTTATATGTTTCAATCACACTAGGTGGTGATGTATTTATTTTTTCTCACAA